TTATAAAAATATATTTAATAAGTCATAGTATAAAAGATGTAAAAATGATGTATAAAAAAGGATTTTGAAGGGATATTTTTATCGTTTTAACTATTTTATTTCGGAACAAGTTATATTAGAATTATTTTTCCACTCAGAGACTGAGATAACTTATCTTAGTACTAATTATTAATTCTAAAATAAATTAATGTAGAATTATCTTTCTTTATCCATCATATCAAATGTATCCAAGCGTTTAATCGAAAAAGTGGTGGAATTTTTTAACCAAACTTTTCCACAAATTTAGTTCTTTGCATTGAACACTTCAACTTAGCCACTGAAGCAAAAGTTGGATGAGAGACTAGGCCAACTTATCTTTCGAAAAAAAATAAAAAATCTTTATCATCATGCGAAGCAATAATCTAAATTTTGGGCTGCCAAATATTATTTAGATTAAGATAGACTATAAAAAAAGGGTGAAAAATCATCATTGTCAATCAATGGAAAGAGTATCAAGTACAAAATCGAAATTGAATAATGTCCACATGCTCTATGGTATTTAGTAACTTAAATTAAATTATTATATAGATTCAACCATTTTCTAGGAATGTGAAGTGGACATTATATATGTTGACGCAAGTGTGAATATTGAATAGATATATATGGACCTTATGATCGTTGTACGGGAAGTAAATAAGAGAGATTTATAGATAAGATTTGAATTTTGAAAAGAATTTTGACAGCCATTTGGGGGCTGGATCTTTTTATTATTCTAATTTTTATATAAATTTATGAAGAGTGAAGTATTAGAACATTTCTGAAGTTGAGTAAATTATTAGTTTTGTATTTAAATTATTGACAGCTTTAAAAATATTTTTTCATTTGATTAATTAAATTTAGATACATTCCGATAAATCGCATGACATTAGCAAGTGGTCACGAACTCTTGTAGGAGCATGAGACTCTCAATAAAAATCGAAAGAAGTGTTGAAAACACCCCTAAACTTAATGGAAAATTAGAGGTGTATTTCACCCGTGTTGCAAGATTAGGGGAGTGTTAAAGTTTAGTTAATCAAGTAAATTAAAGGTATATTTTTAATGTTGTCAATAATTCAAAAATGAAACTAATAATTCGCACTGAGTTTAGGGTGTTTTTAGTAGTTCTCTCGTTTAAGAATATATGGGAAGATTTTTCAAAATGTTGAATCGTTTACATGGAAATTTAATAATAAGTGTTTAGAATTTGGTCATTTTGCATTTTTCTCTCTACAATATATGGAGAAAATTCTGTTGGGAGCGCCACCCCCGAATGGGCCCTGCAGTGCGCGATTCAAATTTAGTCGAAGCTCCAATGAGGACTCCGGACACCGAGCGAAAACAAAAAAAAAAAAAGAATTTTGGAAAGGAATAAAAACATCTTGATGCTGGATCTTTTAAGAAATAAGAATGAAAATAACGTAAAATCAGAAATAGCAGTAAACATTTAATTCTGGAACGGAAAAAAAACATTTTTCTGCTGGAATATTTTTTTTCTTTATGTAACGTAAATCAGATATAGTAGTGACAACTTATTAAAATTATTTTTTTTATTTTGTTATGCAAAATAACAAAGTCAATGAGTATGTGTACGCTAACATATCAATGGTTATTCAATGTAGAATAGTTCAGTCACTCAATTTTATTTTATTATTAAAAAATATTTAACTAAACAATATACTTAGAAAAATCACTTTATTTTAGGCTATAATGAAAAAACAATTCAATTATTAATATTTCGCTTATAAAATCATTAAATTTGATTGAGAAAAAAAAGAAGAATAAGGAAGGTAGACTAGCAAGAATGTTGGTAACTGAAATCACCTATTAGGACTAATGTGGCAGAAAAAATCTTCAGTCAGTGGACCTAATTTAAGTAGTTAACTAAATTTCTCCTCCTTTGGTTGGCTGCAGAAATGAACGTTCAATTTTTACTAAGTTATATTTTATTTTATTTTTTAATTTTAGTGTGTAATAAAATTATTATTTTTTATTATAAATAGAGTTGTCAAAATAGGCTTAGTCCATGCAATCGGTCTAATCCAACCTATTATTGGGGTAGAATTGAAATATGATTTTTTAAGCTCATTTAAAACTAAGACTTATCAGTTCGATCCATATAAGCCCTTAGCTCTTAAGGTTTGATCAGGGCCGGGCCGAAGTCGGTCTATGAGTCAAAACTATTTATGTAAGGGTAACTTATAGAAATCTTACTAGTGTATGAGCTAATTATTTAGATGCACGTTATGTTGTAATACAAATTTTATCAAATTTTGGTGCGCCAGATACATGGACATAAAATTATTTGTAACTTGTTCTACATACACTTTATCCGCGTCCTCGCTTCCCTCCCATCTCGCTCGTCACTCTCTTATCTAGCTTGCGTATCTAGGATGCATCACACCAGATATATGTATCTTGCGTGTTTAGTATCCTAGACATATACTAAACACACTAGATTTTTTGCTAATTTTATTAAAACAACATCATTGTTTGCCATCTTTGATTTGAAAATCTTCTTATTTTCTTAATGTTATAGAATTTTACATTTGAAAAAAAAAGGCTAGCCTGCCCCAGTCCGCAGTCCTTCTAGGTTGGGTTGTGCATTTTCAGGTCCTTCCAAAAGGAGGATCGGTCCACCCTAGCCCATCAAATTTTTTGACTCGCAAAACTTGAACCAGATAGGCCTGGACTGATCCTTTTTGAGAACTCTAATTTAATTGCATATAACATATCAAATTTAAAAAAGATCTTTTCAAAATATTTTAAACAAAATATCTGATGAGTCAATTAAAATTATATATCTTAACTTTTTATAAATTTAAAATGAAGTGATCTAATAAAGAAACTTATCAAAATCCACCCACACTTGAGCAAATTAAAACAATTAAACCGTTGAGCTTGATTTTGACTTTCTTGAACACATAAAATTTAGTACTCTCTCCGTTCCTTTTTACATGTTTAATTTTGACTTTTTACTTGTCATTTTTGAATAATTAAGAAAAGACAATATTTTATACTTATTATATCCTCAATTTATTTAGAGAGTTAATGTTTTTGAAAAATGTAAAACCTCTCGATTAGTAAATTGATTTTGAATTCTATCAATTAATAGGATAAAATGTTAAATTCACTATTATTTTCAGTAGGATTTGACCATGGGATACCATATCACAATACGAAATCATGAGATGGAATTAGCATTTGGATATGCGATTTCACGTTGATTCCATGTCATGGTTTCATATTATGAGATCGAATCTCATATTCTCCAAAAATCATGATTTGGAAATTCCATATCATGATTTGAGATTTTAAATACAAAAATTGGTCCACAAGTTTATATTTTGTTAAAACAACCCCCATTTATATCTACTACCCATTTATTTAATATGTAAATAAAATTTATTATCATGTTATTACTTTTAAAAAAAATTATTATTCTCACCAACATAAAATTTATTATTATTTTAAATTTTGTGAATATAAATGATCAAGTAAGAATCAATTTGGTGAATATAAATAAGAACGGATGGAATAATACTTTTTTGGTTTTTCATAATAATAATAAAATAACTTTCTTTTGGCTACATATGAAAATGTTTAAGGAAATTTAATATGAAAAAGGATAAAATTAGGAGATTATCCGTACTATGTGAGGGGATTATATTAAAGACTAATACACTATAATTTATGTTCAATTTTTTTTATTGAATTAAAATTTGATCAATTAAAGTTAGATGAAAAAGTTATCTAATAGCTTTGTAATAATTTATAATGCGATTTAATAATTTTCTTTGTTTGGTAAGATTAAATAAACAATTGAGGCTATTTTAATAGTTTTACAACTTATGAAATTCTTATATTTATGAGAAAATATAAGACACAATTTTTTTATATCACATATCCAAACAAAACTTTAATTTCGTCTCATAATTTAAAATTATAATATTATCTCATAATTTCATATCGTATGACAAATAAATTTAAAATATGTTTAAGTAAAAAATAAACAAGTAAATCCGGACAGAGTGAGAGTGTCCATCTTCATCCTTCTCGACAAGGAGAAAGGGAGGTGTTTCACATGGATGCCAAAATTCTTGTTTACTCCGCAAATCGTTGTATAGGGAACACCACAATATTGATATCTGCCCTGCATAGAACTTTCCAAAGTACATTTTTGTTTTTTCAAATACTCTTCCTTTCACTAACGTATAAGTTCCATCACAGAAATAAAACACCAAATAACATTAATTTATCTTCTACATTTTCATTTATTTCAAAATTAAACAATGGTAAAATCATTTACTTTTACGTTAGAAATCATATATTCTGTTTTGAATGCAATGTACTAGAGATATACAAAAGGAAGTACGTATATATATATAACAACTAGGAGTAATTAAGTACACTCTCTCTCTCCCTATTAAATATTTTAATTTAATTTCACTTTTTACTTATTATTTTTGACAAATCGAGGAAGAATAATATATATCTTTTTCTTTATATCCTTAATTTATTACAATGAATTAATTTCTTTGAAAAATATAGTGAATAAATATGTTTGAAATGCTATCAATTAATATGGATAAAATGATAAATTTATTATACTAATAATTTTTTTTGTGCCAAGTCAAAATCTGACAAGTAAATAGGAATGAGCTGAATAGTTATTACTTGTATTTATTAGCATGACCTAACTAATTTATAGCATGGTAAGAAGTTAGTTTTATCGCTATTTTTATTTGTCCAATATATTAAAAATAGATTTTATTTTGTTTAGTTTGGTACTTTTCGATTATGGAGTAATAAATAGTGCGACAAGAGTGTAACCTCTTTTCAAGCTTCCTATTTTGACTCTCCACTCAAAATCAGCCACGTCAGCAGTTGCATATATAACTCCCTGTACCCCTCCACACGGAATCAAACCGTGTACTTCAACATTTTCCTGGTTAAGAAAAAGTCATCATCTTCTCCATAAATAAATACTTTTCCATTTTTTTCTCAACAAAAACCCCATTCACAAAAGCTTCATTCTTCAATTTCCACCTTTTTTTTTCTCTTTCATTTGATGGAATCTTCATTGCCGGTGGAGGAGCTTACTTCCGGCGCTAGTGGCCGGATAATTCCTCTTTTCAAAAATCTTCGCCGGTCAGTTTTTTCATACCAAACTTACCGGAGACTAATTATATTTATAGAGTCTATTTTCCTATGGGTAATTCTTCTGTCTCGATGGAGGTTCTCCACGTCACCTTCGTCTCCTCCGCCTTCGCCGTCTGCAGCTACTACGACGGTGTTGGGGAAGAGGAGGAAATTTGCTCTGCGGAGGGATGAAGAGGATACGCAGAGAAGGAGGGCACTTGCTGAGGCGTTAGATATGGTGGTTGAGAATGATGGTGTGAGCTGCCGTTGGAATACGTCTTTGTTCTTTGGGGCTCGTCGGAATGCTTTGTTTTGCCGATCGTGGTTTCCGGTTACAGATGAATTGAGGTATGTTCATTTTCGAAATTTATTATTAACATGTATGTGAGTTTTTATAAAGATAGAATTGAGGTGAAGGGGTTTGTAGAAGGTTGATGGTTTATGTATAATAAGAAAGTCAAATTATGATAAAGCATGAATAAAGAGGATTCATACAGGTAATTAATTTGGAATTGAGTCATACATCATGTTTATTAATTTTGCAATCACGGGTGTGTGGGAGGTATGGGGATCTAATGTATGGGAGGAAAAAAACGAATTGAACAAATGAAGGTGTGGCCTAGTGCTCGATAAAGTGGATTGAGTTCTTAGGTTCAAAACACTAGTGATTTCTTCCCCTGTGTGTTTTAGGCCTTGGTGAAGAGAGTTGTGCGCACAAGCTGGTCTGGACACTAGGGCTATCAAAAGATAAGACTTTGATTTTGGTACCAACTTAATATTGCAAGCTTCGTGTGGCTGTGGCAAAGAATTGTTCCTTCGTCGTGTTTTGGGGAAATTGGGATATGGTTATTTCAGCATTAAAGTATGGAAAACACAACTGCATGGGTGCATCACCCCTTGCTGACTTTTGTTCATCAGAGTGGTTAGAAGCCAGCCTTTCATTTACCTTAAGTACAGAAGGCAGTTAAACATACCCTGTATGTTACCCAATGAAACTATTTTTCATTTCTATCTTCACCCCATGTGATTTATTTGACTTGATTTTATTAACAGAGATACTAGGGATGCTCATTTTCAGTTTTTCTGACAAAATACTCCTTTAACAAGAAAATTGCAAGTATTTGAAGTGATAATTTGTACATGAGTATCTTATTTCGTCTGTGCAGGGTCATTTTATATTGCACATGAGAAAAAATAGACATGAATTTGGTTGGCAAGTTAGAGCATTTATATTGAGTTTTAAAAATATTCTAGTTTGCTAGGACATGAAATGTAGCCAGAATCTACCAGTGATCAAATGTGGTTTACTGTTTTCATCAGGAAAAAGCTTAGGTTGAATTTCCTAGAGTTGGCTTCATGGTTTAGATAATTCCTCCTTAAATCCTTTAATTTAGAGTGCTATCTTAGAAGGCGAGTGATTTCCATTTGAATAGATCGATCAATGTCAGACTTATATGAGAAAACTAAAAACTGTACATCATTATTGCTTCTGATCTTAGTAATCATGAACCATTTGTTGTAGGACATCAAGAATACCCTTTCTCTTTCATCCTGCAGTGGCCTAGGCTTTGTCTATTAGTAACCTTTTTTTTTAAATACCCAAGGCTCAGTCTGATAATTTGACAAAATTCACTCACTTTTGGGGTATTAAGGAGCAGTAGTGCTGCAAATTCTGATATTTGTGTTTGTTAATCTGCTATAAATTTGCTATCTCTTTTTTAATGTTTCTAGTGTTTTTCTTTAATCGTTTCTTAATGGCTAGATTTTTCATTTCAGGGGCATAATTATCATCATCCATGGACTGAATGAGCACAGGTAACTGTTTATTGACTTTTTTAAAAAAAATCTTGGGAGGAGGGGAGAGATAGCTGGTTTTTGAAGAATAGGTGTCTTTGCTAATGCGGGTTGTTTAAGCCTTCTCATTTCAGTATTGAATACAGTACAATGTTTATTTATGACTTGTCTTAACTAGCTGGATGACGATATTCCTTTTATATTTCATTTCAGTGGACGATATGCTCATTTTGCTAGGCAACTGAACTCCTGCAACTTTGGGGTGTATGCAATGGACTGGATAGGTACTTTTATCCTTTATTTTGAAGACCTTGTTTAAATTGGTTAGAGGTCCTGTAGTGACCTCTTTATTGTCGCACATTCTAGTATTTCATCATAATCATGTGAAAGGGTGACACGGTCATTCTTTGGATGCTAAAACAAACTCACCTTGTCATTGGAATGGCTGCCAAAAGGTCAATTATAGTTCTTAATTAAGTGTGTGTATAGCTTCATCAATTTTCATTCTCATTGTGTCTCTTCCTCAGTGGTCCTGTCCTTTCTTTAATTTCTTTTCCGTGTATGAAGTTAGTCCTTCTTTCCCTGATGCTTCTTTACTAGATAGCCTCTTATCAGGATTATACTTCTCACAGATACCTCACAAAGTTTGTTCTTCTTCTAAAATGCCTTGATTTGAGCTGCATGCATTAAGTATGTCTTGCTATATCTTCTGGGTTCATGGATAATTAAATAAGCTTCTCTGAGGTGATTGTTATGATTGACTATGCTAGTAGTCAAAGTGGATGGTTAATACACTTGTTAACAAATGACAGAGAATTGTTCTGTGTGACAGGGCATGGAGGGAGTGATGGATTACATGGATATGTGCCATCTTTGGACCATGTTGTGGCAGACACAGTAAGTTGTCACTGTTTTTATATTTCATGCTCCATCTCTGCCATATATCTGAACTCTTTTCCTTAAGGACTCTATTCCAATTATTTTCTTGAACTGGATATCCACTCCTAAGTAACAAGCTGAAAATGTGATCTTCATTCTACATTCATCTTTCTTTCATTGTTGTCTTGCCTCATCCATAGGGACTGCCAAATTACCCACTATATTCTTTTCATGTTTATACAGGGGCTTTCTTGGAAAAGGTCAAGTTTGAGAACCCTGGTATACCATGCTTCCTTTTTGGTCATTCAACGGGAGGAGCGGTGGTCCTAAAGGTAAGGCATTTGAAGTGAAGTTAACTTCAACCATTCTGAAACCCTTAGTATTCATTGATTATTCTGCTCCCTTGCACAGGCAGCTTCTTATCCACACATTGAAAATATGCTGGAGGGCATCATATTGACTTCACCAGCATTGCGTGTGAAACCTGCAAATCCTATTGTTAGTGTAAGGCGCCTACCCTTTTTTTTATATGGATATTTTCGTATGCTTTGATGAATGTTTTTTCACAGCAGTGTCTTCTTTCCATGCACTCTCTAACTTTGTGTTTGTTATCCAAATGCAGGCTGTGGCACCAATTTTTTCATTGGTTGCACCTAGGTACCAGTTCAAAGGTTCTCACAAAAGGGGAATCCCTGTTTCAAGGGATCCTGCAGCACTGGTGGCTAAGTATTCTGACCCTCTAGTGTATACTGGGCCTTTGAGGGTGAGGACAGGACATGAGATTCTGCGCATCTCCTCTTACTTGATGAGGAACTTCAAGTCTGTCACTGTCCCATTCTTAGTCCTTCATGGATCTGCTGATAGAGTCACTGATCCATTGGCTTCTCAAGATTTGTACAATGAGGCTGCTTCTGAATTCAAGGACATTAAACTTTATGATGGATTCTTGCACGATCTTCTATTCGAGCCTGAGCGTGAAGAAATTGCCCAGGATATCATTGATTGGATGCACAAGAAGTTAGATTCTGGCAATCTTGAAAATGTGTATAGTCAGTGCTAGTTTTCTAAATAATTAGTGTTTTGATTGATCAAGGGGATGCTGTTATATTTATTTATTTGATCAGTTATCCTACTTTATTTTTAGCTTCCTGCTTCTCCAATGGAATCAGAAAGATGATTCCGATTATCTAAGCTTGTATAGTGTGTAGTAGTAAAAAATTAGTGTTGCCTCTGTTGGCTGATGATCGTTAGACTCGTTGGCCACTACTATGTATTCTATGAACACAACACAATCTTCTCTACAACTGATATGTTTGGTAAAGATTATTTTGCTTCTCCGATTTTTCTATCAATTAAACGTTAGTAGAAAGAACCATTATACCAGGCTCGTACTCAAGAATTAGTCTTGATTCTGTATTTGATATGATAAGTTTTAAGCTAAAAACATTATTGAACTATGACCCAAACCTGAAGTACATCTTTTTGTATGATATCTTTTTAGAACAAATACTAATATGTCACATAGAGGGAGCAGCAATCAGTAAACTACTATCCATTTCTCAAAATAAAACACTGCATACCTGTCTAATCCAAATTAAAATATTGCATACAGGTCTTTTATTACTCATCATCATCATATTTAACAGGCTTATTAATTAGAACTCGCAAAATCACCTAACTTAGACGATTCTAAAGCATTCTCAATATTTTCAGCCATGCCTTGTAGGGATGAGTCAACATAACCCGAAAATAATTCCAAAGTCAACCCATCAATTGGATCAGCAACGAATGACCATTCAATTTGGCACCCATTCTCATCATTACCATCCGATGCCAATACTTTCAACGTAGATACATAAGACTTGATCCCAATATTATTGTCTAAGACCTCATAGCTTAGACATCGCTCTATCTTATCAACTGTCAACAACTTCTCGTGACACCACTTGACGATCACTTCTCCATCATCTGATGACGATGGGGGCTTGGTACTGCTAGCGCAATACCGGATAATTTCATCTTTATTATCACTATTCATTTGGTGACATGCGTCAATGTTTGGTAGCCAATGGTGGAAGTTGCAGAAATCTTCAAGGAGTGGCCATACTTGTTCTGCTTTGGGATGTTTTAGATTTGCAATGGATTTGCCTTCCCATTTGGACTCAAGTTGTTGGGTTGCCATAGAAGGAGAAATGAATAATAAGAAGGACCAACTTTTTTATATGAATGAATTAGCTGCACTAAGTATTTATAAGATGATTATGATGATCTTAAATTTAATATGATATGAATTATGATAAAGAGTATATTTGAACATTGACACTAGCTAGTCAATGTTCAAAACCATTGACTAGCTGGTCAAGATTGACCATTAAATTAAGGGTCCTCATTAATTAATTAGTAACTTAGTACCACCTAGATACTTCCTCCTGTCCATTTTACTTTTCATATTTTTTTTAATACGTTGAAAATATTACTAACCAACACCTTGGATAATTGTTACTTGTATTGTATTATTAGTTTAAATATAATGTTTTCATTAGATATACCAGTCAATTTTATGTGATTATAGCGTTATCTTAATATTTTCTACGTATTTTAATTTGTCTTTACTTATTATTTAATAATCTTATTTTATCTTTTATCTTACTTTTTCGTATATATTAAGTATCTCTACCTCGAACCCTATTTTCTTTTTAGATCTATCATTCAATTCGTCAATGTGTGATATTATGTAACGATGAAAAATAATACAAAATATCATTAAAATAATACAAGACAACACAATATAACACATTATCTCGATTCAATACTGACCAGCTATTTTTAATGATTAGGACAACTAAAATGAATCAGAAAGAGTATTTAGTTATAAAACCTGATTTAAAGATCCCATAAATGTCGGTAATTGGTCATTTAATCATTGTTTTTGGACTATATATACTTATTAATCTGAATCCTAGAATAACACATTAACATAGTTTGCATTTGAATTTCAAGATTTTAAGCGGAATATCACTTACTAAAGTAGATAAATTTAACTTTGTTTTGTTTAATTGTGTGTATTCGTATTCACTGATTCAATTAATTTAAATTTACGTTAAATAAATAAGCTAAAAAAGTAAAATCACTTCCTACAAAAGGATCTTACTTTTAATTAATAATATAAGAAATTTCAATCATGGTCACAGAAAATGATAGATCTAACTTATAAGGCAGTGGGCATTAAAAACTGAGACGTAAAACTAACTGGCACAAATACTCCTACTACTCCATTTTTATTTATTTTTGCATAAATTGAAATAATGTCTGGATTTAGGTAAAACTATCTCCAATTTTAATTACACACTACTAAACTTAAATATTTTTTTAATAATGAATAACTGAAAAAATTATATTATAAAATATAATTATTTCTATTTATTTTTCACAGAATTCATTCATTGAGAAAAACAGTTTTTCATATATAAATGTTATTATCTTTTACTTTTTCACCATCGATATATTTATAAAATAATTATTAAATATTTTTAATAAAAAATTATAATTTAAGTCAACGAGGTAGAAGCCTAAATTTAGGCTACGAGCCTTTTGGCAAGGGAATATGCTTGTAATGGGAATAGTGGTCCAGTAGGGTGTGGGTATATATCTCCTTTTTTGGTTTTTTATCGATGAAATTTATATTGGAGCTCGGACTAAATATAATATAAATCATGTACGGCTGAGCTTATTTGGGATAGTACTTCTAACAAGATTTTTTACATATTCAGAATTCATACTCAAAACTTTTAATTAAGAATGAAATAGAATTTTATCGGGCATATATATGAAGGCTACTTTGTCCAAAACTTCCTTTTATGACAGAATTTATTATTATAAAATAACGCCTGGTCTGAATTGTCTCTTTTGAGGGCTGTACACAGCCCAACAATACCCCACGGCTCAATTTTATTTTATTTTTTCTCTTGCGTTGACAGTATATAGTTGTGGTTTGGAGAAATTTTGTCTATCTTAATTCATGGAATATATAATTCTTTTTTTTATTTTACTCATTACTTATTTTCAAAATAATTTTTTTATTTTTATTTGTCACTTTTGACATATCAAGAAAGGATAATAATTTTTCCATGTTTTACCCTTAACATTAAATACTTATTTTTCAAATTATTTCTAAGACAACATTTAATAGGGGATAATTTGATAAAATATATATCATTAATTATTTCCTTAATGGATGTGCCAAATCAAAATGTTACAAGTAAAAATAAACAGAGGAAGTATTATATTTAATAACTAGGTAAATTATCCGTGCTTCGCACGGGATCAAACTATTTATTAAGCTTATATATGATCCTTTGATAATATCCATATTTTTGGTACATACACTACATTTCAAGAACATTTTATCTTAAGACAAAGTTGTAACACCCCAAATATTTTTAAGCTAAGTCCCGAATCATTCTTCATTTGCGTGTAAAGTCGTATCAAATGATTCTTAAATTTGCTCTTAAGTGAAAGGATCAATTCTTTAATGTGGGAATGAAATTGGATATGAATTAAAGTCACAAGAATCCCCTAGCACAAAGTTGAGTTGAAAGCTTCCTTACCAATTAAGTTTTACATAAGATTCTACTTAGGTCAACTTTATACAATCATATCTCTCGGGACATAATGAACTAGGTGGCCATGACATATCAAATTAAAGGTCTATGAGTCTTCTTTCCAATGTCATCAAGTTTGCCTTATTTCGAGTTCAGAGTAAAAAATTATGATCGTTTTACTGGCATACCCGGGCTGAAAAAGTAGGCGAACTCACTTGCCCAATTGGCGATCTGCCGAATAGGTTGGAGAATTGCCGAGTTAGCTCGCCGAAATGTCCCGAAAATGTTAAGCTTCTGTCTATTTGGGCTATCTAAAGTCCCAATGGGAGATCCGCCAAGTATTTTCGACGAGGAGGCCTCTAGACTACTGTTTTGACCGACGGGACTCATTAAAAGGTAGTTTTTTTTAATGATTTTTATGGTCCTCTTACATTCCCAGAAGGGTATTCTTGACCTTTTACCCTCAATTAACTTCCCTAAGTCTATCTCAAGCCCTAATAATCTCCCCGTTCACGCTCAACCCTCAGACAAGTCAAATTCACGCGTTCTATATTCTCTCAAAGAGAAGCAATCAGTTTAAGGTTTCAAGTCAGCCTCATCTTCTCAGGTACGTAAGACTATTCATAGTGTTGGACTAGTTCATCCGCACGTCCTACATCTCAATTTAGTCAGTAGCAAGTCGAATCTAGGGTTCTGCCCTCAATTTATGAAATTCTAGAAGATGTCTTATGATCTTGTTTTGAGTTTTGAATCTTTACATTACGAGATTCACAATATTTTTTGCCTGAAGATTCTTGAATTGTCGTTCATGCTTGTAGTTCCACATGAACTCTATATATATTGAGTTTCTTACCAAAAGTATTTTTGATGATTCAAGTGAGTCTAAGAGAGTTTTAAAACATCATTTTCATAAAAGTTTAAGGGAACTTAGATGGTTCCAAATGCATTATTTTTATAATTAAAAAGAGAGTACTAATTTTAGAAAAGTATAAAGAATTTTCAGACAGAAGTAGTACAACTTCAGTTATCTCTCAAAAGAGGCCTATGACTCAATCCAGAGAGTACTTTTATATGACCATACAATATTATATTTTTGGGTGTAGTATTGAGCACCGATTTTGGATAAAAGTTAAGATAACTCAAACTCTATAACCTACGTCCCCAACGTAGATAGGATCGTGCTGCAAGACGGGCGACTACCCACCTTCCTCAAGAAGGCTTTTTAGTGGATCCATCAGTTTAGTTGTGTTCTATACTCCGACAAGGTATAGTGTGACTCTGGCAACGTGATAAGACGTTGTATCATCACAAGACTCATAGTGATGGTTATCGGTTAGACAAACTCCCTAATAATGTAAAGAGTAATTATATATATATGAAATTTGGATTTGATAACCTTCGTCATGTCTCATGTGTAACTACTAATAATGCAAAAATCCAAATTTACATTTTAAAGAAAAATATGGGGTAAGATTATTATTTTTTGCGTGACCCGAATTTCAATTGTGCTTGTTCAAAAGACTTAATTAATGCATAACATAAGCTCGTGCATCATA